GTTGCTTCTGTTATTCTCCAGAGATCTTTATAGGGAAAATGCTGTTTAATATTGACATATTCTCACAGTCTCCAGGGTAGTCTTTTGACAGAAAGGGAGGGGAAGAGGAAGAGAGGATGGTAGGAGACCTGCTCTGTCTGACCTTTCTCCCCAGAGGATAAAAATCAAAAGAGAAAAAATAAATTTATTTTTCCTCTTTTTTTGTTTGTGACTGTTGCAGTCTGAAGCTCTGTATCCACACTCTGCTCCCCAAGCATTAGTTCATTGCTAGCGAATAAACTGTTGCACATTTTTTAGTAGATTAACGCAATATAACATTGCCTCTCATGTTTGCCAGAAGATAGAGAATTGGGCCAGCCAGCAAAGTCTTCTAAGCATCTCTGCCTTAACTGCTGGTGGTTCTTTCTGCCTCGGTTTACAGCCCATGGCATCACCTGGAATGTTCTTCTACAGCAAAGCCCCACCAAGCTGTGTCTGCTGACACAAGCACTGGGAAGGTCTGAATAAAAGACCAAATCTACTATTTGCAGAACACCAAAGTTGCAAAAATAATCTGCTACTGTGCGAAGAGAGATCAGAATAAACACAGTCCTGGATGCTTTCCCCAGGCACGTCCAGTTAAATGAAGATTACAGAAACCCAAGTAAATAAGGGGAATAAAATAAAATAAACATGCTACACCCCCTTTCCCTTCCCTTTTTAAGTCTTGCTCCTACTTCAAAGCAATCCTCAGACTTTAGTCCTGTATGTGGGTACAGAAAGCATACCCATACTATCCACACACACCCCATCTGGGGTAAGCTCTCAACTTTGCATGTCTTTGAACACCAGTTCCTAGGTAGTAGTGCCTAAACTGAGGCAGCATCACCTTCTATATCCTGCAGTGTCTTGCGGTTAAATAAACTTTTCATCAACCCACTGCCCTACTATGCTATGGACTGGAAACGCTCAGCACAGCACTGCAGACTTCACAGCTTGGGAAGAATAAAAAAAGTTCCTCTTTCTTCCAAATTTCTGCTAAACCAACAAAGCCTCAAGCAAGAAACAAGCAGTCAAAACAAAATTAAAAGAGTGTGAGACTGCTGTCTGGGATATACGGTGGTACGAAATAGCTGCTACAAAACCAATGAAGACAAACAGGTCAGCTGCAGAGGAGGGTGAAATGCAGAAGTGCAAAACAGTCTGTGTGGAAGAAGCCATGCAAAAGAGCTTTGCACAGAATAGCTGGTGCAGAAGCAGTCACAAGAGGTATACAGAAGGCAGGGACTGCTGGTCGATATATGATTGTGCAGAGTAGCTCGTGCAGAACATAGAACAGCAAGCAGAGAGCAGGTCAGGCAGAAGAGCTGCTGTGCACTGATTTTCTGTGTGACCACTGAAGCTCCTCAGTAACTCAGGTATCTGCTGCCTTTTCAAGCCTTCTCAGATCCCCACAGACCAAAATGCATAGAGCTGCAGCAGGTCCTTCTGCTGGACCATGAGAGTGCTCTGGGCAGCATAGCGGCCACAGCCTGCAAATCACCAGCTTGCTTTTACATTTAGGCAATCCCCGAGACTCAGGCACCTCTCATGTCATGTCCAGTTCCTTGACAGAGCTACAGGATCCCCTGTAAGGGAAGGAATTTCCTTGTTTTTCCTTCCTTGCAAATAGAAAGTGCATCTCTTTCCAGTGACATCATATTTTTAAACTGATAACAGAGGTACAAGTGCAATAGAGCACTTGTGTAGTGGAGGAGCAGATAGACACAAATAATCAGCCATAGGAGTTGCTATGTGGTGCTCAGGGAGGATGGTAAGGTGTATGCCATGCTGACTACAGTCTAAAGGCTCTCTCTCCACCACCAGTTCCTCTTGGGGAAAGTTACTGGCATTTTGATACGTTATCCATCCCAAACTGCTCTGAGGGTACAGAGATAAATATAAGATGCCATCACTGCAGAAAGGGGTCTTCAAGTACCTGGCAGTTATACAGCAGTCTGGCCCAGTGTCATGCCCATCTGATTACACAAAAGAAACTAACAGACACACCTTCTTTTCTTTAAAAAAAATTTTCCTAAGAATATAATTATTTTCTTGTTATTCTGTGTTGTTTCCCTTTCTTGTTTTCTGCTTCACCCATACCTTGTCTTCCTAACAGTCACCAACCACCTCTGTTTATGAATGGTATTTTATTATACATGGTGTTATCTCATTCCTGTTTTCTACTGATCATTGAGCCTGAAAAGTTGTCTTTAACTTGCTCAGCTCCACAGCAAACACAAGTGAGCAAGACAGGCAAGAGGGAGCTCCCCTGCAGGGGTTAGCTTGCTGGCAGAGCTGCGCAGTTTCCACTGCAGACCTTGCTGGGCTGCAGCATAGAAGCACCCTGAAATGTTCATGCCTTTTGTATTGTCATTGGTGATCTCTCTCTTTCATTATTTTGCTGAAATAATCACAGAATCATAGGATCACAGAATCGATTTGGTTGGAAGACACCTCTGGGATCATCGAGTCCAACCTTTGCCCTAACACCACCATGTCAACTAGACCACGGCACTAAGTGCCACCTCCAGTCTTTTCTTAAACACCTCCAGGGATGGGGACTCCACCACCTCCCTGGGCAGTCCATTCCAATGCCTAACGACCCTTTCCGTGAAGAAATGCCTCCTCATTTCTAGCCTGAACTTCCCCTGGTGCAGTTTCAGACTATGCCCTCTTGTCCTGTCACTAGTTGCCTGGGAGAAGAGACCAACCCCCACCTCGCTACAACCTCCTTTCAGGTAGTTGTAGAGAGCGATCAGGTCTCCCCTCAGCCTCCCCTTCTCCAGGCTAAACAACCCCAGCTCCCTCAGCTGCTCCCCATCAGACTTGTGCTCCAGACCCTTCATCAGCTTCGTTGCCCTTCTCTGGACCTCAAGGTCTTTCTTGTAGCGAGGGGCCCAAAGCTGAACACAGCACTCAAGTTGCGGCCTCACCAGTGACAAGTACAGAGGGAAAATGAGGTGGCTTTAGAAATCTTCATGGTAATAAAAGAGTGGTCAGACTAATGAATACCAAAACCTTTCATCTTGTTGACCCAACCTTGACTTGGAAAAGTGGTAGCTGCCAGTCCAGTTTCTTTGAAATATGAAGACCACACTCTTGTTCCTTTTTCCCCACCCTGAGACACAGCCAGTAATTGTTTATAACAGAAAGGTTGATTGAACGTTTTATTTTAAAGAGACACCGACTATCATTTTATTTTCCCTTAGCCAAGAAACAGAGATAGCAAGGTTGTGTTATAGACTTAACGTTAACTGTTGGCATCAGTAGAGGTTGACTCTATCTTAAGACAGAGCAATTAACCTTTACAGCTCTGGCTGATGTCAGGGGGACGAGAGGTAATTAATAAAGTCTACCTATCTCAGCAGTTCAGGGTCACACCACAGCTGAAATGACACAGATGCTCCTGCAGTCAAAGAAAATGACATTGCTTTCTTTCTGAAAGAACCTCATCTGACCTTTATTCCCTACGAGTGAAATCTGCAACAATGCAAGGACACTTGTAGACAGTTAGATGTGCAAGCTCCACAAGATTTTCAGGGAAAGCTTAGGAAAAAAGGAACCGTTGGTAGAACGCAACAGTTTTTGATGAGTTAGGAAACAGCCTTTCTCCTCTCCACACAGTGTCATGATTAAAATGCCAAGGCACTTGGCCAGTGCCAACAATAATGTATTGTTTCAATTTTAATACTGGTATGTCACTTCCAGACTCTATTCAGTATTGTTGTAGTAAGAGTTGTTATGCAATTTATTTCAAAATCGCTACTGTGCTATCTGGAAGCCAAAAAGCTTCTCTCACAATAAGAGAAGCTAATCACTCTGTGGGTCTTCTTACCAATTTGTTGGTCAAAAATCTGAAAAATTAGCAACAAACTCATGGAAATATTCTAATTTATTTAATATTAATCAATGGACACAAAAAAATACCCTTCACAATCTGTAAAATGTTAGTCCTAACACGGTACACATGCATGGATAGGCTTGACTTCAGCCACAACAGTATCCTTCTGCATGCCACAGCTATCCTAAGTTCAGAACATGCTTATACTTTCTGCAAGCCTGGATGCTAAGGTTTTATCTTAATATAAAGGAGTTGATCCCTCTGTCTATGGAACACTCAACAGGTACAACCAAGTATTTTTTGTTGGAGGGGTGAAAACAGCTCTTCATTTAGTGACACTATGGGTGTCATGCCATTATTACAGGCATGGACAATAATGGGATGGAAAGAAACAGTATTCATTTTAAGGAAGAATATACCCCATCCACCTTTCAACTGCATAGTTGTAGTCACAGTCAGCTAGCAAGTAATGAACAGATTGTTCTTTTCCGCATGTCTGGTGTCGTACAAACCCAAACATGCAAGGCCTGTCACAAACACGTCAGCTGCTACAGTCAGAAAGCCTAGATGTGATGTGACTTAAAATGAAGGTTCTAGCTGCCCCAAAGATACACTCCGATGCAAAAAGGAGTTAAACAAAGACACAAGAACGAATGCTCCAGATAAGAGATACTCCTCTGTCTCTTTGGGAACGGTAGCAATATTCGCTAAGAAAGAAGATAGCTGTGTGGTTTAGGGTACCTATGAGATCTAGATTTAGCTCTCAGCAATTTGTGTCCTGGGTTTATTACATAAAAATCTCACATGCTCTAGCTGTAAAATAGGGTTAATAGTGCTTCCTTTTTGCTTCTTGTCATGTACAGGCAGAATTGAGGACAACAGGATTCTAACTAGATACTCTCTGAATGACATCAAAGCACAATTCATAACTATGAAAAAGACAGTGTAAATAAATGACTTGTGTGCAAAGTATTTCTAAACATAGTCTAAATAAGGGCAGAATAATTATATCATAGGACAGTAAAGGGTTTTCATAACATCAGAGCCCAATTTTCTTTAAGAAAGTTTTCTCTTGGGAGAGTCTATTCGAGTCTGACAGAAGAGGGAGGAAAGACACACTTGTTTAAAAAGAGGTTTACACCAACACATTATTTGTGTAAACTTTAATCTCCTTACAGTAGAAACATACACAGTCAAGCCAAAAGTAGTATAACAATTTTACAGCAAAGCTTACCAGTAAAATGCAAAACTAATTTGTATCAAATTCTTAAAAAACTGTGCACTTTCTCAAACTTAACTTTGTTCAGCACATCGTTTTGATTTATATATAATAAGGCATTAATTCTATAAGAATCATTTACTATATTCCAAAATCGCATGACCTAGGTGTAACACTCTATAGCCTGATACCATTTTTGTTCCTTTCGATATTTACAGATTTGACATGTAGCATAGAAGCACTAAGAACAAATACAAGCTTTGCCAATACTAGGTTCACATTGAAAAGGTTATGTAAAACAAAAAGTTCAACTTTGCATTGCAATAGCTTGGTTCTGCTGCAGCCATGACTGTAGTTTAAGAGTAATTTCCCCTTTCGGCATGCTTCCTCACTTCCAGTAGTATTTTGGTCTTTCAAAACGCAGAACTGAATCTGCTCTGAACCTGTAGGAACTGGAAGCAGATCCCAATTCTACCAGCTACCCAGAATTTGTTTTCCTCCTCCTCCCCAGAACACAGTTCTTAAATTTCTTTGAAAGTTAAATCTTCTATAAATGGCATAATCGAATACATACTAGCTACTATGTACAGAAATGGCTCAGGCAATTAAGTTAGTCCACCTTGTCATTAGTCAACAGGAAGTATAATTACTGTAGCGGTAAAGGAGGTATCTAGTGTTCCAGAATAAGTGAGTTTAATTATGGTGAGAGCTTCCTCAATTCTATTTACATAACAACTTCAGGCTCAATGTTAAATAGCAAGTCATCATTTCCTCTTCGAACTTCAAGTAGTAGAGGTGATTCATTCATCACAGCCTCTTGCAGGTCACTGGAAGTCATCAAAGGACGCCCATTGACTTTAACAATAATATCTCCATCTTGGATCCCTCCTCTGAAAAGTCAAGAGGAAAAAGGCAGTAAGTATGCATTCTATGCAGAGGAAAAGTACAGACTATTCATCACCTCTTTGGCTGATGTGACAAATTTTTACTTGTTTTAGTTTCCATTGAAGGGAAATTCCACCCTTCTGACTGCAAAAGAATGACCGGTAGTACTCGCTAAATGCAAAATCAGGCTCGTATTATTTCATTGAGAATTTTCTTCTAAAACAGCAAAAATAAGTAGTCTAGTTTTCTCTTTGCCTTCCACAAAACTACAGCAAAGGAGAAACAGAAGACTTTTAGCCATGACTGACTTATTCCACTTCAACCATTTGCAAGAACATGCTTTTCTCTCTCCAGTATGTATTTCAAGCATTAGAAATTAAACCACTCTCAAAATTTCAAGAAAAGCAAAGTCTACCAACTGAACTACAGGTAAATTATTTCTCTCTTGCCATTCAAATGTAATCCAGAATAGCTGCTTTTATTGCCTTTGCATCTTCTTAGTAATTCCTAAAATAATTTTTAGAAGTATCTTATTTATTTTCCAACCGTTCAGTAAAATAGTCTCTTCCTCTAAGATAAAGCAGTCTCAGATAATAGCTCTGACGTCTTAAGTGAATGCTATGCTGTTTCCTGTTTAATCTTAATCCAAACTTCTATTTATTAATATTCTACATACTTTTCAAAACCAAAATTCGGTTTATGTATTTAGGGTGTTCTTGATACTTGCACACTGTTAGTGTTTCATAATGTCATGAAAGGATGTTGTAGCGAGGTGGGTGTTGGTCTCTTCTCCCAAGTAACAAGTGATAGGATGAGAGGAAACGACCTCAAGTTGGACCAGGGGAGGTTTAGATTGGATATTAGGAAGAACGTCTTCACCAAAAGGGTTGTCAAGCATTGGAACAGGCTGCCAAGGGAAGTGGTTGAGTCACCATCCCTAGAGGCATTTAAAAGATGTGTAGATGTGGTGCTTAGGGACATGGTTTAGTGGTGGACCTGGCAGTGCTAGGTTAACGGCTGGGCTTGATGATCTTAAAGGTCTTTTCCAACCTAAACAATTCTATGATTCTATGATTTTAAAAGTTCTGATATTGAAATATTTCACTTTTGTAGATGCGAGTAGAAACTTAGCACAAGCTTCAACTTTCTTTTTTTAACCTAAAGGCATAATTTTTAATTGTTTAAATACAAATCAAGACTGCTATGAGAAAGTACTTGAATAGAAACAGAAATATTTCCAGCTACTATCTATTTAGAGATTTATTTATGGTGAAGAAAATAATGGGCTCTACATACCTATGAGAAGGTGAGTTTGGAACAACTTCATGTACATAAATTCCACTTCTGACATCAGGAAAATCAGCATTATTGTGTTTCAGTTCTTCCACCAAGCTAAAAGAAGAACAAAGTTATATAGCATATGATTCCACTACAAAAGCAGTAGCATTCCAAAAATTCTTATTTATTTATTCTCAAATTTTTTGTGAGCAAAAATGAATGACTTAACAGTTAATTGTTTGCCCCTTGTTCTTGTGATGAGAATGTAGGGGATTTGCATTTGAATTAAAATAAGTAACAGATTTTAAGAGAGCCAAACTACTTACCTGTGCAAAGCATGCAACATTTAACAGTCTCTTACACTTCCTGCAAGAACCTGACTTTTGCTATTTGTAGCAGTAGCACAGAGGCCACTGCAGAAGAGCACAGGGACAGCAGCATTCTCTGACTTAGGTGCTGCACAAGGACAAAAGACCTTCCTGCCCCAAAGAATTAATGCTAGTAATATGGCAGAAATTTGCTAACTATTTTACTTCTTTGATTTTGCAAGTCATTAATCTGTCTTTATCTAGAACAACATAGCTTTTGATAACTTCAGTCATCAGATAGATCAGAACTGTGAGAGTTTTTCAAGGAAGCTTCAGCTTCAAGTTTTCTTGAGGAATTGTATGTGCATCCCTTTCTAAAGAAAGAAGACAGGAACCAGCTGCAAAATAGAGACTAAAAACATCCCCTCATTTCTGAGGCGATGACATCATTTCAGGTCTGTGTACAGTATGGGTTAAAACCCATTTCTAGAAAGAAAAGGTTTTAAACCAATGATGGATTGCTCTGCTGTCTGCCATGAAAACCTGGGGTCCCTCAGATGGAAAGCAAGCCAAAATGGCTGCACACAGCTTCAGTTCATTTGATTTTGTACTGAGGAAGCTAACAATTAAATGACTAAAGCAAACACACCAAGGGAAGTAGTCTTTTCCTGACAACAGGCCTGGAGACATCTTACACTGTTTCATTAGACACTACAAAAGCAGTAAAATCTCATATTGTGTTCACTTCACAATTATGCAAAGAAACATTCTAAGTTTCTCTCAATTGGTGGTGGTCCGGTGATGCTAATGCCATTACTCAGATTTGCTCCAGCTGAGAATCTGACCCTTTGGGGAGGATTGCAAGAGTGTAACTCAAAAAACAAAGATGGCTTTACTACAACCCCAGTTGGAAACTGTCTTGTTTAATTTTGTAGTCTACTTCCACACTGGAAGCGTGCCTACTGTTGGGAAAGAACATAAGTGTAAGAGCCCTCATTTGTCATCCCAGAACATATCCGGGTAACATCAAGACACAAAGCAATATGAGACAGAGCAGACAGTAAAGAACTGGAGGAGAGTGTCCATATTCTGGCTTTGTTAACATGGAGGCATGAAGCTTTAGTTCTGTACTGTAGCAACTACTTTCTTTCCAGTTAATGGTTAGGCACCAAATCTTATATCATATAAGTTCTACTGGCACTGGTAAAACTACTGCCAAACCCTCAGGCAGCTAATCTGTCATTGGCACTCACAGTCACCTGAAGGCAGCAACTCGTTTTAAGTGTCACCTAAAACCTGGTGTAACTCCAGATATCCTCATCAAGAACCAAAATCTGTGTTCAGGCTCTTCCTAATTTCCCTCAGCTATCACCAGTGCATCCACCATTATCTGTATATAGAGAATGACTGACAGTGATTTTTCCAGGTCTCAGAACATATATTTCACTAGTATCATTAAAATGTTTGCAGACTTCATAGAGGCTAATGCACACTTCTGGATTCTCTGGAGATTTGTAATGAAAGCTGAATGATGAAATTCTGAACCACTATTAACCACATTTTGTATGCATGATCACACAGATTACCTTTCTAAGATACTTACGCAGGTGTTATTGTCAGCATCCTGATGCCAATGAAACGTTTCTTCCCATCTGAAAATAACATAGAGGATATTTAAGAAATTCAGGCAAACATTGACAAAAATAACTACTTTGATGACCCAAAATACCTGTCAATTAAAACAGGACACATGAGCTTTTAACAAAACTAAACAAAAATCATACACATCTACACTGAGGTCATCTTTTATTTTGGTCAGACGTGGTGTACAGAATGACAATCCCTCTCCCTGCAACTGAAGGTAAGAGAGAAGCTCATTTACACTCTGTAAGAGTTTTTCTTCAGGAAATTCATGAACATTTCTGTGATCTAGTATCACATGACTTCAGTAAATGGAAAATTTTGTAACCAGTTACCATTTCATCAAAAACTAGTCAAGACAATTTAATCATATGGTGTTCTCACTAAAATGTAGAAATGGGATTCAAAGAAATTAAAATTTTTGCCTTTCAGAGAAAAGTCAACCAAAAGACTCACACTGATTCTAATGCAAATGGATTATTTCTACCTCAAAGAAGGAAAAGCAAATTTTAAAAAAGCCTCATAGATCTCAGCCAAAATGATCACAAAGATGATCTATAAGGACAGGCTGAGAGAGTTGGGGTTGTTCAGCCTGGAGAAGAGACGGCTCTGGGGAGACCTAATTGCGGACTTTCAGTACTTAAAGGGGGCCTACAAGAAAGCTGGGGAGAGACTTTTTACAAAGACATGGAGTGATAGGACAAGGGGCAATGGTTTTAAACTACAAAAGGGTAGATTCAGACTAGATATAATGAAGAAATTTTTCACAATGAGGGTGGTGAAACAATGGCACAGGTTGCCCAGAGAGGTAGTACATGCCCCATCCCTGGAAACATTCAGGCTCAGGTTGGACAGGGCTCTGAGCAACCTGATCTAGTTTAAGATGTCCCTGCTTATTGCAGAGGGGGTTGGACTAGATGACCTCTAAAGGTCCCTGCCAACTCAAAATATTCTATGATTCTATGATTAGCCAGGGTTCCAGAGAATTTTAAGTGGTGAAAATTCAGTTCTTAAGGAACAGCACCACATTTCTGTAGTTGGCTTTTAGTAGTCATGATATTGCACAGCTGTCCTATGAAAAAAAATGCAGTTTGATGACTTCCTGAAGTGAGTGCTTCAGTAGTTAGTTATATCCGGTATGAAACAATATTTCCCCTTACTTGTTCCAGCATAACTACTTCACAATTTCTTTGAGGTTCTCCATGTTCTCATGTGAGGAAAAAGTCTGAAAAGGAATTGTACACAGTCTCCTCTAACTCTCATTGTTTCCAAGAAAAATAGTCCCAAGTAAAGAAATTAGTCCTGAATCTTAGGCATGTCCAACATTCCCATTAGTGTCACTGAAAATGTTGACTACTAAACATTGGATTTACTACACTCTGAACAATCTTACATCTGTAACTGTCATCTCTGCTTTTGCCTGAAATGTCTGGCTCTCCTCTATTTTAAAAGTGAAATTAATGAGATCAAAATCAGCTATAGTAATAGTATTATGAAGAAGCCCAATTACTCAAAATGGAAGTCTCAAAAGCTCTGGGCATGGCTGTGAACTACTGTGCTCATAGTGCTTCTCTTGTCTATATGGCATAAATGTAAGTTTTCACTTTTTAAAAATATCCAAACATAATAATTCTCCCACCTGAAAATAATCTCCTCATCCCTGCAATATGGACAGTTAAATGATGAAATTACCTTCATGAGACACATAGACGACAGACTCTCTGGTGACAAGTTTACTGTTTGCATTAAACAGTTTGCTGCTGGTCATTGCCTGTGTGATGCAGAAATACGCAGAAGAACAAAGGATACTCTGGGGGCTGAGTTAGGAATGTTTACATGAGAGAAAAATGAAAATGAAAGAAGGGACAAAAGAAACTGATCTGGAAGAAACAAAACAGCAGGGAGGAGATTGGGCAAGAATGAAAAACCACAGCAGAAATGCTGCTGATCTGAAAGGGAGTTATTTCCCCAGTGACTAATGACACATGTAAAAATAAGGCTTTGGGGGGAAAAAAAAAATCTGATAACTACAGACTTAGTCACAAGTCTCATTCTACCTTCATCTTTGGGCAGGTTGGGGTATTATTTCACTCCTGTTCATGCATTAAAATTCAAAATGGCCTTCAGCCCTCTCTCCACAATAAGTTTGCCACACTGCAAATAGCGGTTCATACTGTGACAGTAGCAGGTTATTGTATAAAGTAAAATTAATAGCTATGAGCTATGATTTATTTTAGCAGCCGAGTCTAGATTCCACTCCTTCCCACATTCCAGCCATTTCATACGTCAGAATATAGGTAAAAAAACCTCAGGCCTTTTTTTTTTTTTTGCAAAAGTCCATTCCATTCAATTTAATCCAAGTGAAACATCTTGCACAAAAACCAAAGCTTTCATCAACAATGATTAGAGGGAATGTAATTGTCCAGTTTATTAGAAGTATCAGCAGAGACTGAAGAGGCATAGACAACCAGTTGTAGTGTTTTATCATCCCCAAAGGATAGGCATTTTGACATCAGGGTTAAGTCACATTAGCAGAATAGTATGTGGCACCTGTAACTACCACTGTCATATTACATCTGCTCTGTGAATGAAAAGACTCAAAACCTGTCATTCTGGCAATTTGTGCAATCACGAGGCAGAAAAAATGGAATAAAGTGAGGTCTTAAATCTAAGAAGCACGTCACCAGGGTGAAGTCCCAGCAGTAGTTAAAAGAAGGTTAATATGCTGGAACAATCAGGTTGAACAAATGTGAAACCATTGCAGCTTAAAGCTGGAGCATAGCACAGCAGAGAGATATTCAAATCACTTTTCTTTTTTCTAAACACCAGGCCAGATTAAGCACTGATTCCAGCGGTACAAAGTCAAGCAAACCAGCCTCAATCACTAGTTTAAACTTAAATCTGTTTTGTGTAATAGAAAGACACAAACAGCTGATCCCAGCATCTTGAAGCAGTTCACCATTTACAGAGATTTCTGTTCCACAACAAAGCATTTGCTTTACTGTTAAACTTTTCTTTTTTTTTAATTGATGCTTGTAACAGTAGAGATACAAACCAGACCGATAAACACAGGCTGATGGCAGAAGTGTTTATGACTTATAAGCTGTGGCAAAAAAACCTGATAGATTCAAATAAGGAGTCAAGTATTCAAACTCTTATGGGCATGAGTAGCTCTGGCACATGAGTATTCCCATTTCAGTTGATTTCAGTGGGGCCAGGATATCATCAAGATCTCCGAGTGAGGAAATGAATCCTGCACTTTTTATTCAAGTGGCAGGCAAAACTCCTACTTCTCTGCTTACTCCTTTTGCATTTAGATCATCTTGTAGATTGCATGAGCAGTCCTGAAAGCATTCAAGAAAGATATTCCACTGCCAAACAGAAAACATGAAAATAGCTCAACTCTACAATGCTGAATTATGTGCAGTGTACCTTCCATATAAATCTATACTCAACAAACCTCCTAAGCAGGCCTCATGACTATTGGTAATAATTGTCAGTAATAATCATACACATACACAGCTAAGCATATAGTTTCAATGCAACTAATAAAGTGTTCTGGGGATGTAAATGAGGATTCATATAAATAACTTGTTGGGTGTGGCCAATGCAGAACTCCCCATTTCTCCTTGCCTGTCTGAAACAATGTTTATTTACTTTTCTGCTAACATTATATGAGAGGCCAGGCTGCCCTCTTAGGCTGGATTTTCTGTTTAATATGTTGTCAAATTGCTAACTTACTGTCTTCCATTCTACAGGATCCAAGTTTGATCACTTTCTAGTTTCACTGTTCTGCTCAAGTCTAAACTAGGAATAGCTTGCAGAGGCAAGACTGAAGCTGAGGAATTCCTATGGGATACTAACAAAAGATACTGAAATAAAAAAAATCAGTCAATGCTTAAGTATATAGATGACTTCCAGAGGTAAAGACAAAACATACAAATGTTTAAAACTGAGACATAGATGGAGACACTTAACTTCATGCACCAGTTTAGCAATTCCTAACTATAAAAGGAGGTTAACATTATTACTTATAAATCCAAAGTTAGCAAAGGTTTTCAGACCATTCAACAGATAAATATCTCTAGGCAGAGTATGGTAAATCATTGGTCAAAAATACATTAGGTATTATTATGTATTACCCATGCATTAGGTAATATAGAGTATTTAATAATAATCAGTGCAAATACTTCTGCAAATGCTATCTTCTCCCTCTTTGCCCCCCCGCCCTGCTCCTCTACTTCAGTAGATCATATATTTGCAGTTATATATAATGGATGTGATATCAAAAATATATGCTTTCTATATAAAACTAGTAGTTTTCTGACCAACTGAGATTTAAAAAACTAAGGGCAAGCTTATTAAACAATATTCTGAGTATCTCCTATATGCCAGAGTAAAACTGGAAAGAGCAGTTTCCTAAGGGAATTTTATCACCTTCAGGCAATAAGATATTTACAGCAAAATGGTAATATCCTTAAATTTATTTCTATGACCTAATTGTACCATAAGGGCGGATCCCACTGAAACTACAGAAATGTAATTGGAGCAAAAGAAAACATGACAAAAACATCCCAAAAATTCTGCTTACATAAATTCCTTCTGTCAAGAAGTAACGTCTATACAATAAACCTGAAAACTATTACTAAAGGCCTAAAAAATGTAAACTAAGTCTCAAATTTGGCGAAAATATCTCCTAGAAATTCTCTTTCTCTATGCATCAAGGGCTTTAAATGACTGTTGTTCTTCCTGCAGCAAAAGTACAAGAGGTACTTCAGATGACCAAAAGCAAAAAAAAAAATTTAAATGAAAAAAAAATAAAATTGAAAATTGCCTGTGCTCAGGGTATGCCAAGCATACCCTGATGGTCACACTAATGCTAAGAGTAAGTGTGAATCCTTTTCCTTTAATTTGGCATTACTGTGAATGATGGAAAAAAAAAAAATCAGTATGTTACAATCAAAAGATAAACGTGAACTTTTCACTACATTTTTTCTTAGGGTTCCATAGGCGAAGTTATCTCTAGGCCATCTAGAGCTCAGCGGCTTCATCATTCTCTGGAGGCAAAGGTGCCTGAAGGAGCAAGGTGGCTGATTTCAGTGGTGGCATCTCTAGCCTTCACTGACTTTCCAGCACCAGTCACCAGGAACCCACTGGCAGATGGTGGGGTTTATGCACAAGGCTTGCGTTTATGCCTCTAGAGCCATGCCTGCAGGGTGAGCCATTGCTCCTCCCTGTTTTGAGATGAGCAATTTGGTTCTGAAGGGTAACATCACTAATGATAGAGATCTGCTTCTCTCAGAAGCTAACAAACAGTTAATAACCTTCGTGAATAAATAGGTTTTTTGACTTGTTAGCTGAAACAAAATTATGTCAGCTACTTTGAAATGTACTTTTCAGCACATAATTATCAACTTTTTTCATCAACTCCCCCCTAAATCAACAAGTAAAAACAATCTAATTTGGGGAATTCAGCAAAACACAGATGAGGGGACCCATCAGAATTGTGATGGTCGCAAATACACAAGCAGATGCATAACTTAAAAACCTCTGACAAAGGGCAGTTTCTGAAATAACAGTATCTGAAAGAACACTGAGAGAACAATGGTGTAGGGAAACAACCCTGGCATCAGCAACGGGATGAACTCAGGAGAAGACAAGATTAATATCAAAAAGATTCAAGAGAAGCAGCAGCCAACAGTCATATAGAAGATGAGTAGGGTGTGGAAAGACAAACTGGTAAGCAAAAGAGAAAGGAAGGTTTGGCCTGGATGAAGCATTACTAGGTCAGCTTTGGCTCTGCAGTGTGTAGTATGACACCTAGTACAGTGTGACAGACATGAGGAAGGCACATCAAAAAAGTCGAGAGTACTGCAGTTGCCAGTTGCTGGTATATTTAGATTTATATGCTCTTTGGTGCAGAGGCCTTTCTTCTTTTCTGCTTCTCCCCCGCCTTCCCCATGTATTTATTCAGGAATTAGTACACAGCTCTTCCTCCACTGGGGTCTGAGAGTCTATCACCATATCCAATTACATAGCACTGACATAGGTGACCATGGCAAAATAAAGATCATTCACTGATAGTGCACACACTACATTCCATCTTAAAAATTTTTACCTTATTCTCCACAGCACACCTTAATCTCCTTTCCGCTTGGACAATATGTGAAAGAGGAGGATAAGACTCCTTGAACAAGTCACCATCTGTTCTCAAGATCATTTGAGACTGTAATGACTCATCTGTGTCCTCATTATCCTCAGAGGCCGTTTTTCCCAATGTATACAGATACTGTCTACTCTTTGGGAGTTTGAGTAATAAAACATCTCTCCCACTTCTGTCACGCTGTTTTCTGTTTCCAAGTCTATGGTGTCCTATACTGTCAAATAATGCTGCTCCTTTCAGTAAGAGGATCCCAGACCTGTGTCTTTTAAGACTTCATGGATAGATCAGGATAATAATTGGAAGATGTTACTGTTTCTTGCAGACCTTACCTTTACTTTGCTTGTCATGCGACTCCGTGAGAAATTGAGTGATGCGGTCTGAAGGAATAGCGAAAGAAATTCCAGCTGTGACCTTCAGGGTGTTAATCCCAATCACTTCACCATCCTGTTGAGAGACAGCACTCAATTAATTTGCTCCTAAGTGACAAGGCTCAGCTCACTGCCTAGCATTTCATATTAAAAGTTAGTGTAAGAAATTTTAGAGTGTTGTAATCACTCAGGAAACGAACATTACTTGTAAGGGAGGATCTGAGCTCTGATTCACAATCCCTTCCGCATTTAACTGTGATGGCCAGAAAGATTACAGTACAATTTGTTCATCCAAGGTCCATTCCACCACTCTGCAAGAGATTGCC